TAGAAACTACCATGTTCACCACACTATACACATTCTTAGTGAGAACCAAGCTTGAGAACTGCGTCCAGGCTGCAAGCAATTGTTTAAAAGGTGACTTGGATATCCTAGAAAAAGTACAGAGGGCAGCTACCCGTGCAATCCCAGAACTCCGGGGTTTACCATACAAAGAGCGGCTTGAAAAGCTGGACCTCTTCCCACTAGATCGGGACATCTCAGAAGACATAGCAGGTGAGTAGAAAAGCCAAGAACGAACAAAATACCCGTGGCATACAGGTTTTCACACCGGGTCATCAATTCTTGGAACCTGCTGCTTGAAGCAGTGGTGTCCGCACCTTCAACTGACTCTTTCAAGGGAAGACTGGACACTCATAGGAGCATACCAGAGAAGGAATAACATAGGCCATAGGCCTTCTGTTCTTACTACACAAATCTGAATCTGAAATCAAACTTGCATTCGTTTAATAGTGATTTTAATTCTCGTGTAAATATAAAGGGTGTTTCAACAGGGAGTTACAAAACAAATAACAAAGGTGGGATCAAGTTTGGTAAGTGTTTATCCTGCGGAAAATTTCATTCTCGTAATTTATGTGCATTTCGTAATGATAAATGTTTTAAATGGGCTAAGATAGGACATATTAAGTCGGTATGCAGAACTGCCGTTCATTTTGCTTCAAGTAGTACTTAATCTTATAATTTAGATCCCAATAATTTGGCTGTTTTTAGTGATTATTTATCTTTGTCTACCATTTCGAAAGGTAATGCTCATATTCAAAAGCGATTATGTACATCCCGTGGTTTATTTCATGATCTTTTGTGTGCATACAGGCAGTAAAGAGTTCAGTATTTCATTCACGGACTTGAAATCTTTAGATTCCAAAATTGCGGTACGACCCACTGAATTCAATTTTAGGGATTACTGGACATAGACTGCCCATACGAGGATGTTGTGAATTGCTAATGAGAGATGATAATTCTTTATACATACCTTGTGATGTTTTAGTTAGTGAGAAAGAAATGTAAATGCTGGGTTTAAATCGTTTGAAAAGGCCTAAATCAGAGTTGTCTTCACTAGCTTCTCAAGAAAATTCTGATGCTTCACTTAAACATTTGGTAGCCGCATTTGCTAAGCGCATTAGAGGTATAAAAATTCAGTCTATAAAATTTCAAGTACAGGGTGATCCAGTCTTCTTAAAAGACGAATAATTTCTTATGTTCTTTGAAAAGCAGTAAGTAAGACATTAAACGATTTGTGTGCGAAAGTTATAGTTGAACCTATTAGGTCCTTATCATGGGGTACTCCTATTGTTACACCACTGAAGTCGAATGGCAAGACATCTATAATGTGGTGATTCTAGAAAACATTCAACTCCCATTTGTTGAAGCAAACGTGAACGATGGTAGAGGCTGAAGCTATTCCAAATCGACTTCACGGTTCTAAGGTGTTCTCGAGAGTTGACCTAAAACATGCTTATCTTCAAATCCCTTTAGATTAATCCCTATCTATTTCGACGACAATTAACACTCCTTTTGGTCTGTTCAAATACAATTTCCTTCCATTTGGTCTAAGTTGTTCTCCAGCTATATTTCAGGAAATTATGAATAGGTTAGTTAGTGATCTCGAAGATGTTGAAGTTTATCAAAATGATCTTACTGTTCATGGTTCTGATAAAGTAGTTCATGACCAGAGACTTATTGCTCTATGGTGTCGTTTAGTTGAGAAGAATATTACAGTGAACCCAAATAAGTGTTCATTTTGTGTATCCAGTTTTGGATTTCTTGGATACCTAGTTGATGGTAATGGTTTTAGATCAAATATGAAAATACTAGCTCCACCGTCAAATGCACCATCTCCAAAAAGTCTTACGGAACTACGTTCACTAGTGGGTGCTCTTCAATACTATTCCCGCTTTATTCCTAGTTTTTCTTGTCGTGAAAATTGTTTATTTAATATTTTGACATCCAATTCATTCAAATGGGGTGAGGACGAAGAGTTATGTTTACGAAGTCTACTAAGGTTTCTTCAAAATGATGCTGTTCTTCGAACATACTCCCCTAATGTACATTCTGTGCTTATCACTGATGCATCACCTGTGGGAATTGGTGAAGTTTTGGAACAGGAAGGTAGACCAGATATTTGTGTTTCACAAAAACTTACTGTTACTGAACAAGGTTATTCACAGACTCAGCGAGAAGCATTAGCTGTATTTTGTGTTGTTAAAAGACTCCATAAATTTCTATCCGTAAAAATTCACTATTGTTACTGCTCATGAAGCTTTGAAGTTTATTTATCATCCTGAAAAATCTTTAGCGCGTTCCTAGGCTGCTATGGTTTAACGATGAGGTATTGCTTTCAAGGCCTATAACTATACGGCACAGGAGTGCCAAAAAAATTCAACACGTTGACGGCATTTCTCGCAATCATTACAAGATAGACCTGTTAATACTTCCAACTATTTGTTAGTGCAACCTTTACCAGTGAGACTTCCAGATTTCGTTAGAGAAGCTCGTAGATACTTTGGATGTATACTCAGTGCTATACGGAAAGGTTGGAATGCTAATTTGAAACGTAGATTACCTGTGTATTTTTCAGGGCGGGATGAGCTATCCACTACTCCTGATGGTATTGTAGCGGTAAATAAATCCCCAAAATAAATAGCTCTGTAAGTTTTCGACATTGGGTGCTGACCAGATTAGTTTTAATCGACTCACCTAGCTGAAGGCGCTCGGTCATGCATCCGCACCAGATCACGTGTGGGAACGCCGTGCTCAACATCTACTGCAATCGCTAGCCAGATTAAATCAGACGATTCTCGATATATTTATAGCCTATCAAATATATCTTCCAACCTACTCGCTTCTGTCTTTTGATTTCACTTGGTAGGTACGATTCATATTAGAAGGTGTTACTGGTTAAAGCGTTGTCGAACCCCAAATACCCGTGTCATCTTCAGTATTTTGTGTTTAAATGATCGTGTTGTTACTCCTAATTCATTGCGTGAACCCGTCTTTGAAGATCTCCTTGGTGGACATTCAGGTGTTGAGAAAATGAAGTCCTTGGCAAGGCTCACATGTTGGTGGCCTGAGACAAATGCAGATATATGTCGTACAGCAAACAATTGTGAAAAATTTCATAGGTTGAAAAGTCAGCCTTCAAAGTGGACTCCATGGCCAGTATCGCCTGAGGCTCGCTAATGTGGTCCATTTCTTGGAAAACACTGTTTACTTGTAGTCATTGATTCTTTTTCAAAGTGGCCTGAAGTTTTTTCATAACTTCACCAAATTCAGACTTCCCAATCCAAGCATTAAGAAAGGTGTTTAGTCAAGAAGGGGTTCCCATGGTGTTAGTGACGGATAGCGGCTCTCATTCTGCTGCGGATGCGGTCTCTGCCTGGTCGAATAGTAGGGGGTGCAGACATCTGTTCGCTGCTTTCAAGCACCCTCGTTATAATGGTTAGGCAGAACATTTTGTCAGGACATTAAAGACTATTATTGACCCTATTGCAGCTTCAAAATTTAATGAACTGGAGAAGGAAGTAGGTACGTTTCTATTGCAATATAGAAATGCTAAAAATTCCGTAACGAAAGAGACTCAATCAAAGCTATTAAAAGGAAGAATTTTTCGTTCGAACGTGAGATGTTAAGAGTCTGAAGAAGTTATGTATTGCTGTGGAAATCATCTTTGACCAGCCACGGAGATTGTGGTAAAGAATTCTAGATATCAGTGATTTAAGTGCACAACCGTCATGTTGATCGAATACAATTATAGGAGTCAAGTGAGTTTGTTTCAATTTCGACTGTTAATTCTAATACTAATGAGTGCATTCTAGATAATACTGAGTCTTTATCCAATACAATTTTGAACAGACACAAGATGAACTCAAGAAGAAGACGTACAATCGATTAGAGACGCTTAAACTCCAATTTAAGCTGTGGCGGATGTGGTGTTTGAATGAACTAATGATACCTTTGTACTTGTTGAATGCTTGATTTCGAATTCTAAATACAGGCCATTTGTTCATGCTTATCTAGTACTTCTTGATCCGACTGCGTTATTTCTCGGATTCCTAGTTCATACTATAATTCAAATACTTATAAATATCACAGGTCTATAAGAATGGAAAGTTTTACAGGTGTCAGTCAGTCAGTCAGCTAGAACGTAGGACCAGGCGTTGACTGAGCATGTTTTCCACACCGGCCTAAAGTTCTTCATTCTGATGTGAATCGCCTGACGTTTGTGTTATGTTTGTTTTATAGTTCTCGTTGAGTTGTTTAGAGAATATATAACTTATTCGACATGTCTAGCAGTATCAACAAACTTAAACATCAAATAATTGAAGATTTGAGGTGGGAGGGATAAAATACTGTGTGAGTTAACTATCATTTTGATTATACTGTTAGTGTTTTTCTTACCAAAATGACTTGACATCATTTAAAGGGATTTTATTTCCAGTTTTTGAAAACCTTTTATGTACATAAAATAGTGCAAACATACTAAAATTTAGGTTTAGGTGTAGTGAATTTTAGGATCAAAATAAACATATATGTTACGTACTTCTGCTTGTTATCCCTCGCGGAGGAGCTTAGGCCGTCGACCAGCACTATCCATGCAATCTTGTCCCCAAAAAGCTTCCCAATGGTTATTCACCCACTAATTGTCTGTTTTCAACTCCCGTCGCAGTGTGTTCTTTGGCTTTCCTCTTCTCCAAGTCTCCTCAGGATTCCAAGTTAGCGCTTGCCTAGTGATTCAGATTGGTGATTTCCACAGTCCATGTCCCCACCCAAGCTGCCAGCTTTGGGGAAATTTAGGGGAAATCCCCAAAATTGCCGTAGCGCAGTTTTGCACATTAACATTTCATCGACATAATATAAATAAGCCTCACAGTAGTAAATTTGAATAGAGAAATTTACATTTTAATTCAATACAGACTTTTGATGAGGGATAATCTTTGGAATTCCAGGTCTTGTTTTAATACATTAACAATAAGTAGACAAAGAGTCGTCGGTTGTAAAGCACTTTTTCAAAATTTGAAAGCTATGGAGGTGAGTTGTTTGCAGTGCAGGTCGGAAAATTTGGTTGCTGTCTATGTTCAGTTTTACTTAAGTGAATTATTTCTTTCAGAATAATAATAGACAGCTCGATAAGATTGCGAAAAGGCGGGCAGCAGACACGAAATACCCTAGGTTGTTTGGCTGTTCCCGATCAACCTATTACAGAAGGTTGAGGAAAATAAAAGCACAGTTTATAAAGAAGTGTCAGTTACCGAGCTGTGACGAAGAGACAGACAATCCAGTTGTCGTCACAGAATCGCGTATTACCGTAGCTACAGAGCAGTGGGCTAATATTGTCACAGACACAGCTACTGCTTCATGTAGTCACGTCCAGTGTTCAGACAACACAATCAACGGTAGTATCTGTTTAATTATTAAAATTTTATACATTGTGTGATTTCAGAAATGTCCCCAACCATTCGTCTTTCGGTGAAAGACGAGTTAGACAAAATGGTCATTGAAATGATGAAAGGTGGTTATATAAGCATAAAGAAGGCTGATCAAATACTGGACATTTTTCGTGCGCGGTATCCAGAACTTCCAACGTCCGTCCGAAGTGTTCTACGTCGATGCAACGACGTGGAGCCTAAGATCCTAGATTCTGGAACGTATTACCATTTAGGATTGAAATCCAGTCTTGTGAGAATTTCAGGACATTGGCTTCGTCGAATCCGTTTCAACGAGTTGCAGTTGCAGTTAAACTACGATGGTCTAAGTTTGTTCAAAAGCTCTAACCAACAGCTGTGGCCGATCGTAGGTCGTATAGTAGCTCCACTAGTTAGTAGTGTTTTCGTAGTTGGGATCTACGGTGGTGAAGTAAAACCATCTGATTTCAATGACATGTCAGCAACACTTATAACAGAGTTACAGGAGTTGCTGACAGTAGGTATTAATGTAGATAAGTATCACCTACATTTAACAGTTAAATTAGTTTGTGCGATGATACAAACAAACTGTTAAGAACGCTCCTGAAATCGGTCAGTGAGCTGTCTACGAAAATAGACAAAATGCTATTTTTGTATGAACGCTTAGCCATGGGTGTAACTCACGGGCGTACAGAGGAAATGGATAGTGATGCAATCACTTTCCCATTACGAACGCATGACGAGTTGCGTTCTTTAGAGACAGCTTTAGAGAACAAAAAATTCCGGGATCATTTCGTAAGTTGTAATCGGTGTTTGAAGAAATTTTAGATGGGAAGATTATACCATGTACTATGTGATGATCTTCGGAAATCAGCAAAAGCCTGTCTGAAATACCTCCTTTCTCCGGAACTGGCAAACACGTACACCTTGCACGGAACCAGAAGAAAATTCGGGATTAGTAAATACAAATTTTACTCCACGGTTCAAAGTAAGTCCACATTACTGTATCAACATATTTGTAGGTGCTTTGTGTTCACACTTCCGGAGTGCGACCTGTTCGGAAACGGAGATCACGCACGCCATGGCTACAGCAAGCCAGGCCTTCTTGCATGACGCAAGAGATAAAGTACATAAACGTGGATGGCGATCCAAAGAAAGGGTGAGCTAAAACTACTTAATTTGTTTGTTATAATACATATGTTAACTTTGTCACACATTCTTCCTACTCGTTCCCCTTCCGACTGTTTTGTATATTGTTTAATACCACTTAATAAAATGAAGTATTTAGTTGTATTCCCAATAACTGAAGTTCACTTTGGGGTTTTCCCCAAAATTCACAGGATGTTAATTATCATTATATTTATCACTATAATTACTGTACTTTAATTACTGTAACAGCTTATGACTTTGTGATCAATACTCAAAGTAATATAACTTGTCTCTTGTATGTTTCCCTTTCAGCTGGCTTCGCAGGCTTTATCAGACGTAACTGTAAGTTCTTTGTTCGCATTATTAAGAACATTGTTATACTGTTGGTACATCACCAAACTTTCACATATCTTGACACGTTATTATACACTAAAAATGATTTATTTATTTATTTTTTAGAACATTATCAATGACAGTTCTACGTCTACGTAAGGTGTTGCTGTTACAACGCAATGAAAAACTTTGTATAAATGATTCATTTGTAATTTTATTAACTGTAATAAACATTTATATATTTCATAAATCAGTCTTTTGATAATCGCGACAAATCGGTTAACATTAGGTTTCATTAGCAATGCGCGATTGACGAAAAGTAATAAAACGTCGCAGTAAGAAATGTACGTAAGCATACTCCTAGGTCTTCCGTGATGTCGATAGGCTTTCGAGAAGCTTTTGTGTCAAAACAGTTTTCCAGGAAAACCCAAAGGTTTGGGGAAGCTTCCTCAAAATGATATAACTATCGTGTCCGTTCCCCTTTCACCCGGCTTCGCAGGCTTTAACAGACGTCACCATAGTGTATTTGTGCTTTTGTATATTGTTTTATACTACTTACTAAACTTCAGTAGTCAGTTGTATTCCCTATAACTTCAGTTTACTTTGGGGATTTCCCAAAATTTCCCCAAAGTTCCCCAGGTCTGGGGAAATTTTTGGGAAATCCCCAAAGTTAACTGAAGTTATTGGTAATGCAACTGACTACTGAATTCTCGTAAGTAGTATAAAACAATATACAAAAGCACAAATACACTATGGTGACGTCTGTTAAAGCCTGCGAAGCCGGGTGAAAGGGGAACGGACACGATAGTTATATCATTTTGAGGAAGCTTCCCCAAACCTTTGGGTTTTCCTGGAAAACTGTTTTGACACAAAAGCTTCTCGAAAGCCTATCGACATCACGGAAGACCTAGGAGTATGCTTACGTACATTTCTTACTGCGACGTTTTATTACTTTTCGTCAATCGCGCATTGCTAATGAAACCTAATGTTAACCGATTTGTCGCGATTATCAAAAGACTGATTTATGAAATATATAAATGTTTATTACAGTTAATAAAATTACAAATGAATCATTTATACAAAGTTTTTCATTGCGTTGTAACAGCAACACCTTACGTAGACGTAGAACTGTCATTGATCATGTTCTAAAAAATAAATAAATAAATCATTTTTAGTGTATAATAACGTGTCAAGATATGTGAAAGTTTGGTGATGTACCAACAGTATAACAATGTTCTTAATAATGCGAACAAAGAACTTACAGTTACGTCTGATAAAGCCTGCGAAGCCAGCTGAAAGGGAAACATACAAGAGACAAGTTATATTACTTTGAGTATTGATCACAAAGTCATAAGCTGTTACAGTAATTAAAGTACAGTAATTATAGTGATAAATATAATGATAATTAACATCCTGTGAATTTTGGGGAAAACCCCAAAGTGAACTTCAGTTATTGGGAATACAACTAAATACTTCATTTTATTAAGTGGTATTAAACAATATACAAAACAGTCGGAAGGGGAACGAGTAGGAAGAATGTGTGACAAAGTTAACATATGTATTATAACAAACAAATTAAGTAGTTTTAGCTCACCCTTTCTTTGGATCGCCATCCACGTTTATGTACTTTATCTCTTGCGTCATGCAAGAAGGCCTGGCTTGCTGTAGCCATGGCGTGCGTGATCTCCGTTTCCGAACAGGTCGCACTCCGGAAGTGTGAACACAAAGCACCTACAAATATGTTGATACAGTAATGTGGACTTACTTTGAACCGTGGAGTAAAATTTGTATTTACTAATCCCGAATTTTCTTCTGGTTCCGTGCAAGGTGTACGTGTTTGCCAGTTCCGGAGAAAGGAGGTATTTCAGACAGGCTTTTGCTGATTTCCGAAGATCATCACATAGTACATGGTATAATCTTCCCATCTAAAATTTCTTCAAACACCGATTACAACTTACGAAATGATCCCGGAATTTTTTGTTCTCTAAAGCTGTCTCTAAAGAACGCAACTCGTCATGCGTTCGTAATGGGAAAGTGATTGCATCACTATCCATTTCCTCTGTACGCCCGTGAGTTACACCCATGGCTAAGCGTTCATACAAAAATAGCATTTTGTCTATTTTCGTAGACAGCTCACTGACCGATTTCAGGAGCGTTCTTAACAGTTTGTTTGTATCATCGCACAAACTAATTTAACTGTTAAATGTAGGTGATACTTATCTACATTAATACCTACTGTCAGCAACTCCTGTAACTCTGTTATAAGTGTTGCTGACATGTCATTGAAATCAGATGGTTTTACTTCACCACCGTAGATCCCAACTACGAAAACACTACTAACTAGTGGAGCTACTATACGACCTACGATCGGCCACAGCTGTTGGTTAGAGCTTTTGAACAAACTTAGACCATCGTAGTTTAACTGCAACTGCAACTCGTTGAAACGGATTCGACGAAGCCAATGTCCTGAAATTCTCACAAGACTGGATTTCAATCCTAAATGGTAATACGTTCCAGAATCTAGGATCTTAGGCTCCACGTCGTTGCATCGACGTAGAACACTTCGGACGGACGTTGGAAGTTCTGGATACCGCGCACGAAAAATGTCCAGTATTTGATCAGCCTTCTTTATGCTTATATAACCACCTTTCATCATTTCAATGACCATTTTGTCTAACTCGTCTTTCACCGAAAGACGAATGGTTGGGGACATTTCTGAAATCACACAATGTATAAAATTTTAATAATTAAACAGATACTACCGTTGATTGTGTTGTCTGAACACTGGACGTGACTACATGAAGCAGTAGCTGTGTCTGTGACAATATTAGCCCACTGCTCTGTAGCTACGGTAATACGCGATTCTGTGACGACAACTGGATTGTCTGTCTCTTCGTCACAGCTCGGTAACTGACACTTCTTTATAAACTGTGCTTTTATTTTCCTCAACCTTCTGTAATAGGTTGATCGGGAACAGCCAAACAACCTAGGGTATTTCGTGTCTGCTGCCCGCCTTTTCGCAATCTTATCGAGCTGTCTATTATTATTCTGAAAGAAATAATTCACTTAAGTAAAACTGAACATAGACAGCAACCAAATTTTCCGACCTGCACTGCAAACAACTCACCTCCATAGCTTTCAAATTTTGAAAAAGTGCTTTACAACCGACGACTCTTTGTCTACTTATTGTTAATGTATTAAAACAAGACCTGGAATTCCAAAGATTATCCCTCATCAAAAGTCTGTATTGAATTAAAATGTAAATTTCTCTATTCAAATTTACTACTGTGAGGCTTATTTATATTATGTCGATGAAATGTTAATGTGCAAAACTGCGCTACGGCAATTTTGGGGATTTCCCCTAAATTTCCCCAAAGCTGGCAGCTTGGGTGGGGACATGGACTGTGGAAATCACCAATCTGAATCACTAGGCAAGCGCTAACTTGGAATCCTGAGGAGACTTGGAGAAGAGGAAAGCCAAAGAACACACTGCGACGGGAGTTGAAAACAGACAATTAGTGGGTGAATAACCATTGGGAAGCTTTTTGGGGACAAGATTGCATGGATAGTGCTGGTCGACGGCCTAAGCTCCTCCGCGAGGGATAACAAGCAGAAGTACGTAACATATATGTTTATTTTGATCCTAAAATTCACTACACCTAAACCTAAATTTTAGTATGTTTGCACTATTTTATGTACATAAAAGGTTTTCAAAAACTGGAAATAAAATCCCTTTAAATGATGTCAAGTCATTTTGGTAAGAAAAACACTAACAGTATAATCAAAATGATAGTTAACTCACACAGTATTTTATCCCTCCCACCTCAAATCTTCAATTATTTGATGTTTAAGTTTGTTGATACTGCTAGACATGTCGAATAAGTTATATATTCTCTAAACAACTCAACGAGAACTATAAAACAAACATAACACAAACGTCAGGCGATTCACATCAGAATGAAGAACTTTAGGCCGGTGTGGAAAACATGCTCAGTCAACGCCTGGTCCTACGTTCTAGCTGACTGACTGACTGACACCTGTAAAACTTTCCATTCTTATAGACCTGTGATATTTATAAGTATTTGAATTATAGTATGAACTAGGAATCCGAGAAATAACGCAGTCGGATCAAGAAGTACTAGATAAGCATGAACAAATGGCCTGTATTTAGAATTCGAAATCAAGCATTCAACAAGTACAAAGGTATCATTAGTTCATTCAAACACCACATCCGCCACAGCTTAAATTGGAGTTTAAGCGTCTCTAATCGATTGTACGTCTTCTTCTTGAGTTCATCTTGTGTCTGTTCAAAATTGTATTGGATAAAGACTCAGTATTATCTAGAATGCACTCATTAGTATTAGAATTAACAACCGAAATCGGAACAGACTCACCTGAGCCCTCAAATTGTGTACAATCATCATGTCGGTTGAGTAATAAAACTACAGCTACCTGGAATTCGAAGCATAGACTTTCAGAAGATCTTTACTCAATATGGACCGAAAAAAAATTACTGTGAACACTTAACATTTAATATGATCAAGAGACTTTTGAAACGGTGATGAATATGAAACTAAGAAGGACAAATTCCATAAATTCTCTAGATAGTCTACCATACGTGTGATACTTAATTCCATTCCAAACTACTTAGCTACTTTTATTGAAGCTGTTATGTATTTATAAATGTTGTGCACTGAGCTAATTAAAGTATCCTCTTATGAAAAGATCACATCATCCGTATCATGTTTTAAACCATTGTTCCCAAAACAGTGTTCCATATCTTAAATTGCGGTGTTCAGTTCATACTTTTATATACACATCCCATATTAACGTGCATTTCGACTCACCTTTTACATAAGCAAAGGTAACACTGTTTCTATGTCGTTGAATCAACCTTATCAGTTTTCACTAAAACCAACAATAGTCCTTCTGAATTCGAACACCAAATTAGTTACCTCAGCGCCTTCAAGACAACTAAAACCGTACGCGATAGCAAGATCACTGTATTGGGAAAATATACTAAAGTTATCACATTAGCGCAGCGTGATAACATAGTTGTGGGTCATACGAAAGCTCGAAGTAGCAGCTGAGTGGCCCAACATTGAACACAATGTTGTTTGAATCAATATGTTAGAGTAAAGATTTGTAATACAATCATGTAAACTGGGTATGCGTAACTGTTATATGTCTGCTAACCATCAAACATAGTCGAAACCTTCAACCATCAGAAGTACTAGACACAGTCGCAAC